GCACTGGCTGGGGACTGGGGCTCTGCTCTTGGGTTGCTTCTCCCAGTGCAGAACCTCCACCTGCAATATAATGATTTATATAATATATATATATATTATATTATATATATATATATATTATATATATTTGATCACTCCGATGTATGTGGTCTTTATCTGCAGTTGCTTAAAAATAAAAAAAATGCTTCAGAGCCACAAAGGGGAAATGGGCATCTTGTGTTAAGGAGACTTTTGGACCCCACCCAAGGACTGGGGCTGGTGGCCAGGAGGACGAACCATGAGGTTATGTTGTCAGGAAGTCCAGTCCAGGGAGATCTCCCTGCGTGCTAGGTGAGGCCTCAACCTGGGAGAGTGTTCTTGACTGATCGAGAAGGAACTCATGAGTAGCATGCACAGCTGGTGGGAGTCCGCTTGGTGGCCTTATAGTGGGAGTTTAAGCAGGGGTGGAATATTCATCAGGGTGGGGGCCCTTCTCAGAATAGGGAGGGGATTTCCAGGAAACCAGGTGACACCCTCTTTTTGTCCTCAGATAGTCTTCTTCGGAATCGCACCAAGGGGTGTGATATTTAGTCTGCTAACGCGTGCATAATGCACTTTGAGGTGAAGTCACGGTCTCCACGTTGGAACCAATCAGTTTGGCAGGTCTGTTACATATATCCTCCCTACCCACATCCGGGAGAACAGTTTAAATGGGATGTTTAGAATATAAACAAGCATCTAACTGAATGTAAGCACCATCCAAAGTCCCCACGTCCCTCCCTGCTCCTGTCTGGCTATCCACCTACTGTAACAATTAGAGGTTGGAACTTCAGTCCCTGCTTCAAACTTCCAGGGAGGGGAGAGGGGGACTGAGAGTTGAACCAGCCAATGGCCAATGACTTAGTCAATGATGAAACCTTCATAGATATCTGGGAAAACAGCTTTTTGCCCCTTTTCCCCCTTTTTAGAGAGGTTCCATGCTTAGGGGACCAGAACATTTCCACGTGCCCCGGGAGGGCCCCCAGGCTCCACAGGGACAGAAGCTCCTTTGTTTGGGACCTTGCCCTATGCATCTCTTCATCTGGTTAGTGATTTGTATCCTTTATCATACTCATTAATGAACTGATAAACACCAAGTGTTTCCCTGAGTTCTGTGAGCATCTCTAGCAAATCAATAGATTCTAATGAGGTGTTCATGAGAACCTCAGATCTGTAGAGCTGGGTCAGAAGCACAGGGAACAGCCTGGGGCTTGGGACTGGCATCTGAAGTGGGGGTTTGGGGGGGAGTGTGGCAGGACCGAGTCCTCAACCCATGGGATCCCACTGTTCCTGGGCAGACAGGGTCAGAACTGAGCTGAATTCTCTGGTGTCGGAGAATTGCTCTGTGTTTTGTCTAGGGAATCCCCCACTGTCCCCCTGCCACCCCAACCCTGACACATTGTAACTGGGTCCAGGAACCCTAAAAGACCACCCTATGAGACAGCTGGAGTGAGGGTGCTCAGAGCTTCTTCATTCTCTGAAGCAGCACCCTGTGAATGGGGCTGGGTGGAGGAAGGGGGTCCTGGCCCCTCAGAAGCACTCACTCAGGACTTAGCTTTTGCAACACACAGCTGGAGGGTGGGATGAAAGATGCTGGCAGTCTGTCCTCTTGGGGAGATAATGGCAGCTCTTGACCTTGACCTGGGCTGGGGAGAGGGAGCCCTGGGTTCATGGTGGTGCCCACCTGGGGTGGTGCTTCCATCATGCTGAGCTGAGCTGAGAGTGAGGGTGAAGAAGCGGGTTGTGGTTCACAAGCCAGCAACTCCCGCTGTTCTTACCAAGTGTGACTACATTTTCTTAAGGACCTTTTTCTTCATTTCCTCTATGCTCTTAAGATAGTTTCCAGAGACTTTTTAAGAAACTAATTTTCACAACTTACGCATGTTTTGCTGAGAAATGGGCCCACAGGTGTCCTAATACCACCTTTCTAGAAGAGGATTCTGCTGCTGATGCTTGGAGGAAACCCCTCCCCTCCCTGCCATGAGGAGCTTCCCTGTCCCTGTCCCCAGGGATACCTCCTCTGGGAGGAGCCCTGTGTGTTTGCCATCACATTATTTTGGCAGAAGATATCCTTGGAGAGACACATGCATCTTTTGCTGTCCCTGGATTTTCCCGTTTCAGTGCTCATTGTTGTGGTGCAGACTTCCCAATATCACAGACCCTCTCTTGTTTGGGAGCCCCACCTACCTCCCACAGTAAAATACTGTAATTTTTGGTTTGAAAATGCTTGAATGGAATTTTTTATTTGGCTTCAGAAATTATTTTTAAAGTGATTTTTAAATCAAACTATTACTTGAAAATAATGTATAGCATTAAAGGGCTTCTAACAAATCCAGCCATCCCTGTCTCCCCCCACCCCTCCATTCTCCCATCCCCGGAGGCACTCTGGGCTAACAGGTTCCAAGGGCCACACCTGCCAGCCCCCCTCAGTGCAGGCTTTCCCTGGAGCCCTGCCTGCCTGCTCACTCCCCTCTGTCCTGGGACTCTGAGGGTCCTCCTTTCCCCAGGCTTACCTGGTTCCCTCCCTGCATTGGACCTTATGATTGCTGACCCCCATCTTCTTTCTTGATTTATTTCCTCATTTTGGTACACGTATCTTGCAGCAGGAACATATCATGATGACAGTAAGTATTGGCAGGGATTTGGGGGCCCCCTGAAACCTGTTGGTAGGAGCATGGACTGGTACATTCTGGAAAGTGACATTGCATGAAATTAAAAATGTACAGATCATGTCCGGAAATCCCATATGCGGAGAAATCTCCCACGGCTAGAAGTTGGAAGTCCTTTCCCCTTGGGTTCTCAGACACATGTTCTTTCTCTCTTACAGGTTATTTTTTAATTAATTAACTTAATTTTTGAATAGGTAATATGTTACATGGTTCAGAAGCAGAAAGTCTTTTGCTATCCACCCAGTCCACATCTCCCAAAAGTTAACTATCATAATTAGGGTTTTGTGTATTTTTAAATATTTTTAAAGGTTTAAAGAGATCTTGAATGTCATACAAGCAAAGGCAAGTATCTATTCCTTCCCACCTCTTTATACACCAATGCTAATGTGCCCTACGTGCTGTTTTACAGCTATAGCCCATCATGGGGACCTTTCCCCATCAGTTGAGTATCCTTACCACTGCACAGTATTCCAGGGTGGGGCTGTGCCGAGCTTCACTTCACCAGTTTCCTATTCATTGACGCTTGGCCTTTTCAAACCTTTTGCTCTCAAACGGCGCTGCAGTGAACAGCCTAATACAGGCTTCTTCACCAGGGGGTGTGCAGGGATGATGACAAGACAAATGGCTAAGGTGGAGGTGCCATCACAGTGTACACATCCGTGCGGTTTTGATGGCAACTGCCAGGCTTACTTCCTTCCATAGGAAGGCATTTATATCCCACAAGGCAAAGTGGGAGAGCCGGTTTCCCCAGCTTTGTCCACACTGTGTTCTATTTTTTTGTCATCTAAGAGGCACACCAATGTGGTCTTCCTTTGAGTAAAGTCGAGCATTTCTGTCACCCACGAGTCATCTGCATTTCCTCCTCTTGTACTGTTTTTATCTCCTGTCCATTTTTCGACAAGATAGCCAAGCTTTCCATTTCCTTTTGAATGATCTTCAAAGTCAGACTTTCACTCCCAATGCGTCTCTGGAGCTCCTCCCTCTGAGGCGGTCAGTTCTGTCTCTGCTGAGAACCCAAAGGCCAGCCCTTGCTTCTTGTGTCAGCTTCTCAGGACACTCATGTCCTGAGTCTTCCTAATCAGCTTCTGTCTTCCTCTTAACTTTATCAGCTTGGTTTTCCTCTTAACTTCTAGAAAGTTCTCCTCAATGCCCTTTGATGGATCTGCCTTATTTCCTCAACCTCTGGACATTTGTATGTCCCAGGGCTCAGCTAGTTTCTCTCCGTCTGTTAGATGCTTTACCCGAGCCTCTGTTGTGCAAGCAGCCTGCTCAGGGAAGCCTTCCAACCTTGTGTATCCAGGCCTGGTCTCTCCTAAGAACTCCAGGATCATGTCATTTCAATCTGTGTTCAGTGTCTGCACTGGACTGTCTAATGGATATCTTGAACTAAACACGCTTCAGAGCAGATTCCTGGTTTTCCTTTCCAACCCTGCTCCTCCCCCGGTCTTCCCACATCTCAGCAAGTGGCAATGCTGTTCCTTCATTTGCCAAGACCAAAAAACCTGGGACTCAGCCTTGCCCTCTCCTTGTCTCTCACATTTGACTTACTCTCTACCAGCCAATACTGTCAGGTTTCCTTTCAAAATACGTCCCACCTCTGCCCACCTCCCCACCCCCACAGCTACTCTGGCTCAGCCTGCCTTCCCTGCACCTGCATCAGCGAGCAGCCTCTCTGCTGTGTGTTGGTGTGTGAGAGCCAATTAACTGCAAGGAGACCTAACAGAGAGGTTGTATATGTTAGTGATTAAGAGATCTTAAACCAAACTGTGCTCTACATTTTGCTATTTTTTACTTACATTCTAATCCAGAAAGCTGTCATTATTGAAATAAATAGGATGTAATGTCCCTAAAAGTCACAGGAGTAAATCAATTGATCAAAAACCTTTCTGTATTACTAGGTTGCATTGGTCTTACTGTGGTACTGAGCCCCTCACTGTCAGCCCTTGGCATGCATGCCGAGGCCACCAGAAAGCTCCAGTTTCCCCAACATCTGCCCTCCAAGAAGGCATCCAGGCATGGCTTCTCAGCAGAGGGGGTCTCTCCAAGCTCTGGGCTGGTCTGGGGAGCAAATCCAGCTGCTGAACCAGGAATGGGAAGAACGACGCCATTAGTTACTTCTTTGTTGTGCAAATACTGTGTTGATGTCAGATTTTTTTCCTCAGGATAAATAACAGAAGTAGAATTATTGGGATAAAAAGTATCCAAGAGATCTTTCCTAAATTGACTGTTACCCGTGGATTACTCTGGGTTCTCCAGAGGAACCAACAGGAGAGAAAGAGAGAGAGGTAGACAGATGATAGATGACAGGTAGAGATTTATTATAAGACATTGGCTCACATAATGTGGAGGCTGAGAAGTCCCTGGATCTGCTGGGTGCAAGGTGGAGGCCCAGGAGAGCCAATGACATACATTCCCATCTGAAGACAGAAGAACCATGTCCCAGCTGGAAAACAGGCAGAGAGAGTAAATTCTCACTTCTACCATCTTCTCTTCCAGTCAGGCCTCCAGCTGACTGGACAAGGACCCCCACATTGGGGAGGGCCATCTGATTTACTGAGTCCACTGGCTCAAAGGTGAATCTCACCCAGAAACACTGTCACACACGGAAATGTCTGACCCAACATCCGGGCACCTGTGGTCGGGCCAAGTTGACCCATAAAATTAACCATCACATCTGCCCCTTAAATTTCAGTGCCCCCCACCCCCTCAGCCTTCAGGGTAAACTTTAAGCTCCTTGGTCTGCCCCGTGGAGTCTTTCAAGAACTGGCCTTCCTTGCCATTTCTCTCCACTCCAACACACCAGGTTAATGTCACCTTCTTCTTTGCCGGGCTCTTCTCTCGCCTGCTCACTTGGTGGGGGTCCGTCATCAGCGGTGGGGCTTCTAGTCTGGGTCTCCTCTAACCTCTCTGGTCCTGCCTGGAGATCCAGGGTCGGATGCCAAAGGAAGATGGTGTCAGGCACCCTACTCAGCCTGCGGGCAGGGGCCCAGGGGTGCTGGGAGGCATCTTGGCACGGGTTTCAAGGTCTCCCTCCTGGATCTGTCCCTGGCTGGTGCCCCAGTACTCCCTCCTGGGTCCTGGGGAGTGAAAATGGGGCCATTTTCACCGAAGATGCTGGGCAGTGAGACATGCCCCTCACAGCATGTGCCGAAGACAAGGGGTGGCGTCACGGGATCAAGGCCTGCTGTCCTCTGCTGCTGGGGACAAGGCTTGGCTTTGCTGGCAGGGCCTGTGGAGGGGCGTGTGCAGAAGGGGAGCTGGAGGCAGAGGGAGGTCTTGTTCTGAGCATGTCTGAGACCCGGCCGGGCACTCCTGAGCCACCAGGGACACCAGGGGCTCAGCGACCTTCCAAAGGGGAGACGGCGGGAGCAGGGGTGGAGGGCATGCGCGTCCTGTGTCCGTGCTTGAAGACAGACCAGTGGCCAGTCAGCACCATCCTTGATACCTTGGAGCCCCTGGTGCAGAGCTCTGCACAGGCCCAGGCCCTACCCGTGTCCTTGGCACTGCTTTTGCCTCTTTGAGCCTCCCTTTGTCACTGCCAAGAGGGATGGTGACAGCACCTACCTTGTGGGGTTTGTTAGGCTGCGTGTAAAGTGGCAGGCCAGCGACTTGGCACTCATGACAGAAGAATTTGAGTTTCAGGGTGAAACGGAGCTGCCTGCTGAGGCACACCCCGACTGAGTCACCTGGCTCCTCGCCCCTTGCCCACTGATGGATGTGGCAGCAGTCAGAAGTTAGGGGCTTGTGGGGGAGTGCTGTAAGTGAGACTTCCTGCCTATGAAACCTGCAGCCTGGGGGGCATGGTGGCCTGCTATCTGAAGGGCCAGGGGCCACACTGGCCACTGTCTGTCCCTGACTTGGTAGGGAAAGGGGGTCTGTGGTGCCCCTGGGACAGCTTTGGCTGTGCCTTGCAGAACTGCCCTGGGGTTACCCAGGGTCCTACCCTGGAGGGCTGCTGGGTGGGAGAGACAGGCTTCTGCAGAGGCCTGGGTGCGGCTGGGTTACTGGGTTGGTCCGTGCCCTTCCCAGGAAACTTCAGGGCATGGCGGTGTGTCTCCAGTGATGCGGTGAAGTGGGGACAGGGGCTTCAGAGGACCCACAGGTCACCCATGTCCAGCCAGGCCCCGGGGCGCTGAGGCAAACCCATCAAGTCTTCCTGCCCTCCACACCACTGTTTCCTCTCTGCAGGGCTCAGAGAAAAGGTGCCAGGATACAGCACAGCCATGCCCTCTCCCCGGCTCCCTGGCCACCCCAGGGCCCTGAGGCCCAGACACCTGCACGGCGCTGAGCTGAGCAGCTTCAAATCCTGTGTCTCGTGTCTGGGGGCCACGTCACCTGGCACCGTGCTGGGCTCACGGGCATCCGTCTTGGGTACCACCTGTGGTGCTGACACCTGCATAGCAGGTGTAGGCCCTGCCCATCGGGGGCCGTGGGCCATCTGACCCGGCCACAGGAACCGAGGGCAAAGGGGCCTCTGCAGGGAAGGCCATGAGTCCTGGGTACAGCCTAGGGACTGCATGTGGCTCAGGCTGTGAACACCATGGGAGGAGCCTCATGATGGGCTCCAGATGCCTCGTGAGCTTCATCAATCCCACTCTCCAATTAGAGGGGCAACTGGCCACACGCAGGGCTATCCACTCACCAGGCCCTGTCCATATGGCATGGGGTCCATGGAGTAGACATGACCCCCATGTCTCCCTCCTGACCCATGGCCACAGCATTCCCCAGCCTGAGCTGGGAAATTGCCCTGCATCCTGGCAGAAGTTCATTGCGGGCCCATGGATGAGAGACACGGTGTGGATGTGATCTGCAGGGTCTACAAGTATGTTTATACAACTCTAAAGCTTTCAATGTACTGTACATGTTGTCATCTCCATGGCAAATTTGTCCTGTGACTGGTGTCACAGCTGACATCCAAAAGCTATTCCCTGATACCAGCAGGATCCAGAAAGGGGGCGAATGGGGCTGCAGAGACCAGCCCATCCCAAGGGGCAGGGAAGGGTCCGTTGGCAGAAGGGCAGGGGCCACTGGTGGGTGCTGGCCCCTCATGTCACCGCGAAGCCTGCTAGCCACATGGAGGCTTCCAGGCCACCTGGCGACAGACTGGGTGTCAGCCTCTGAGTGAGACCGCAGCCACCTGACCTTCTGGAGCAGTGCTGCGTCCTTGACAAGGATGGACAGACTGACTAGCAACGTGGCTCCCACAGTCCTGAAGGCAAGACATGTCCTGCCCACATGTCTAGAAGCCCTGGACCCTGCCAGGGCTGAGGTTCCACAAAAGGTGGAGAAAGTTGTCCTGTGCCTCGTAGTCACGGGGGCGGGTGCCAGGCCACAGGGGCAAGGTCTGCAGAGCAGCGAGGCCCCCGCCGTCCGCTGGGCCGGCTGGGGCAGGGCTGCAGAGGCTTCTGCTCACTTTCGTTTCTTCTCCTCCTCCTGCTCAGTGCTTCACGTCTTCCCCAAAATAGAGGACCTGGGGATTCAAACAGCCAGGGTGGTTCACAGTTATACTTCCCCCTGGCGAGTCCCCTGCTCGGCAAGAGGCTCCCCACCCTGAGGAGTGGTGTGCGGTTCTTTCAGCTCTGTCCCCAGAGCCCTCCACTGCAGACGGCTTCCACCCGCTCCCGCTCGGCCATGCCAACATGCCAGATTAGCAGGAGACTGTGCCCGTCTCCCTTTATGACCTAAGGATATGGACTGGGGGCTTCTGGCACCAGGACTGACATGTCGATGGCCGATGGCCGAGGGGGGCAGCCTCCAGCTGCTGGGGGCTTTGGTCCCAGCCTGCCTACCCCAGCCCTGAGCTAACGCCCTGGCCTGACTGCCCCCCTCCACTGCAGGAGCTGCCCCGAGGCTGACAACCTGGTGATCAGGAAGCCCCTCGGCCCTGACCTGGGCCCAAGCACCCTCTCCCTCCACCTATCTTGGCTCACAGACTCACCTTAGAGATTTCCACCTCTCTTTTTCTGTTTGGTTCTCTGGGCTCTCACTTTCATAAGAAGCCAAATAGAGACCTAGTCAAGAAATGAAGTGAAATTACACAGTTATGGTGGATGATAATCTGTTCCACATCCGCTCTGGCCTTTTCACTTTTCAGTTAAACTTGGCAAGTAATTGTAGATTCACATGTGGTTGTAAGAAATAATACAGAGTGGTCCATGTACCCTTTACCAGGAGTCCCCAGTGGGTGACCACTCACACAACTAAAGCATGGGATCACCACCAGGATACTGATGCTGATCCAGTCAGATACAGATACTGCCATCGCCACAAGCCTCCCTCAGGTTGTGCTTTTACAGCCACATCCACTTGCGTCCAACTCTACCTCTTTCTTAACCCCATGCCACCCCTAATCGGTTCTCCATTTTGTCATTTCAAGAATGTGATATAAGTGGAATTGCAGCACAAGATATAAACTTTCGGGACTGGCTCTTTTTGCTCAGTGCAATTCTCTGGAGATTCATCCATGTTGTTGTGTGTGCCAATATTTCATTCCTTTTTATTGCTGAATAGTATTCTATGACATGGATATACCACTGGTTATTTAACTCTACCCACTGAAGGACATCTGGGCTGTTTCCAGTGTTTGGCTCTAACAAATTAAGCTGCTGTGAACATTGGTGTATGTGGTTTTGTGTGAACATGAGTGTGCATTTCTTTGTGATGAAATCAATGCCCAAAAGTGAAATTGCTAAGACATATAATAGCTGCATATTTTGTTTTATAAGAAACTCTGTCTAGTTCTACATCCTAAAAAGTTCATCTTGCTTTTTCTTTTTCCTAAAAGTTTTATGCTTTTTTATTTTGCATTTGAGTCTGTGATCCATCTTAACTTAATTTTTGTATCAGGTGTAGGACTTAGGTTGAGGTTCATTTTTTTAGCTCGTGGATGCCCAAATGCCCCAGCACCCCTTGGTGGCAAAAGCTATCTTTCCTTCACTGAATCATTTTTGCACATTTGTCAAAAATCAAAAATCACTGGGCATATTTGTGTGGGTCTGCTTCTGGGTTCTCTATTCTGTTCCATTGACTAGTGTTTGTCCAACCAATACCACACATTCTTGATTACTGTAACTATACAATATCTATAATAGTTACAATACTGTAACTATACAATATTTAATATTGAGTAGAGTGATTCCTCTTATTTTATTCTTCTTCAAAATAATTTCAGCTATTCTAGTTCCTTTTACTATGTAAATTTTAGAATAATCTTATCTATCTATCTATCTATCTATCTATCTATCATCTATCTATCTACAAAAAAATCTTGCTGCAATTTTTATAAGAATTATATTAAACCTGTACTTAAAGTTGGGGAGGAGGATCAAAAGCTTTGTTATGTTGAGTGTTCTCATTCAGGAACATCATGTCTCTCCTTTTATTTAGATCTTCTTTGATTTCTTTCATCAACATTGTGTAGTCTTTAGCATATAAATCTTGAAAACGTTTTGTTAGATTTACACCTAGCTATTTCATGTTACTGAGAAATCATAAACAGTACTTGTATTTTGAAATGTAGTGTGTACATAATCATTGTTAGCAATGGACATACAATAGATTTTTGCATAGTTAGCTTGTATTCTGTGGCTTTGCTGAACTCAGTTCTAGGAGTTTTTGTAGATTTCCTTGGGATTTTTTTTACATGTTCTGCAAGTAGGGACAGTGTTAACTCTTCCTCTCTGAGCTGTATGTCTTTATTTCCTTTTCTTGCCTTATTACATAGACTAGATCTCCATTATAATGTTGAACAAGAATGGTGAGAATAGATAAACTTGCCTAGTTATTGATTTTAGTGAGAAAGCATTCAGTCATTCACCATTAAATATGATGTTGGCTGAAGGATTTTTGTAAATGCAATTTATGAAGTTGATAAATTCCCCTCTTTTTTTCAAGAGGTAAAACATTTATTTGGGATCAAAGAATTACAATTTGGGGTACACAGATTGAGGTAGAAACCCAAATAGTATCCTAATTACAAAAGGTGGACTAAAGGTTTTTCTTACGGAATCATTAATGTACAATTACATGAGCAACATTATGGTTACTAGACTGCCCCCATTATCAAGTCTCCCCCACATACCCCATTACAGTCACTGTCCATCAGCATAGTAAGATGCTATAGAATCACTACTTGTCTTCTCTGTGTTATACTGCCTTCCCCATGCCCTCCACCCTATTTTATGTGTGCTCATCATAATGCCCCCCTTTCCCCCTTATCCCTCCCTTCCCACCCATCCTCCCCAGTCCCTTTCCCTTTGGTAACTGTTAGTCCATTCTTGGGTTCTGTGATTCTGCTGCTGTTTTGATCCTTCAATTTTTTCTTTGTTCTTATGCTCCACAGATGAGTGAAATCATTTGATAGTTGTCTTTCTTCGCCTGGCTTATTTCACTGAGCATAATATCCTCTAGCTCCATCAATGTTGTTGCAAATGGTAGGATTTGTTTTCTTCTTATGGATGAATAATATTCCATTGTGTATATGTACCACATCTTCTTTATTCATTCATCTACTGATGGACACTTAGGTTGCTTCCATTTCTTGGCTATTGTAAACAGTGCTGCAATAAACATAGGGGTACATATGTCTTTTTCAAACTGGGCTCCTGCATTCTTAGGGTAAATTCCTAGGAGTGGAATTCTTGGGCCAAATGGTATTTCTATTTTTAATTTTTTGAGGAACCTCCATACTGCTTTCTACAAAGGTTGAACTAATTTACATTCCCACCAGCAATGTGGGAGGGTTCTCCTTTCTCCACATCCTCAACCAACATTTGTTGTTGTTTGTCTTTTGGATGTTGGCCATCCTAACTGGTGTGAGGTGATATCTCATTGTGGTTTTAATTTGCATTTCTCTGATGATTAGTGATGTGGAGCATCTTTTCATGTGCCTCTATTCTTATTTTTATGACAGCTTTCCCCATGCATGGTTGTCGAAATTTGTCAAAGCTTTTTCTATACCAATTGATATAATCAAGTGATTTTTCTCCTTTAGCCTGTTAATATGGTGGGTTATGTTGATTGATTTTCAAATACTGGATAACCTTGCATCCCTGGAATAAACCCACTTGGTCATGATGTATAATTATCTTTTTATATTGCTGAATTCTATTTGATAATGTTTTATTAAGGAATTTTTGCATCTATATTCATGAGGGATCTTGGTACATATATTCTTTTTTTATGTTTTTGTCTGGTTTTGGTATCAGGGTTATATTGGCTTCATAAAATGAATTGGAAAGTTTCCTCTCTTCTATTTTTTGAGAGATTGTGTAGAATCAGTATTAATTCTTTGAATGTCTAATAGAATTCTCTAGTGTAACCATCTGGACTTAGAGATTTCATTTTTTGGTATTTTTAAATTACAAATTCAATTTCCTTAATAGTTATAGGGCTATTTAAATTATCTATTTTATGTTGAGTTGTGTTTGCATTTTTCAGGCAATTGGTCCATTTCATCTAACTTGTCAAATTTATGTGCATAGAGTTGTTTGTTCTTTCCTCATTAGCCTTTCAATGTTGGCAAAGTCTGTAATGATATCCCTTGTTTCATTCCTAATATTAGTAACTTCTGTCTTACTTTTGTCAAGAGGTTCTTTGCTAGAGTATGGCAATTTTATTTTTCTTTTCAAAGAACCACCTCTTTGTTTGATTTTCTTTATTGTTCTGTTTTCCATTTCATTAATTTCTGCTTTCTTCTGCTTTTATTTCCATCCTTCTGCTGGCTTTATGTTTATTTTATTCCCCTTTTTCTAAGGTTCTGGAGTTGGGGAACATAGATGACTGATTGGAGACTTTTTCTTTTTTCTAACATACGCCTTCACGGCATCCTCCCTCAGCTCCACTTAAGATATCACAAGTTTTGATTGTCTTTTCATTTAGTTCAACTATTTTTTTTATTTCCCTTGAGACTTCTTTGACTAATGGATTATTTAGAGATGTATGGTTTAGATTCTGAGTGTTTGGAGATTTTCTTCTTGTCTTATGTTATTGATTTCTAGTTTGATTCCTTTGTGATCAGAAGGTACACTCTGTATGATCTCAATTACTTTAATTTGTTGCAGTTTGTTAAATATAGCTTGGGATATTATCTATCACGGTTTGTGTTCTGTGGGTGATTGAAATAAATGAATGTGAATTCTATAAATGTATAATTGTATGAAGTGTTCTATAGATGTTGATTAAATCTATTGTTTGTTGGTATTGGTGAGTTCTTCTATGTCTTTACTGATTTTCTGTCTAGTTCTAACAATTGTTGAGAGGGGCATTGAAGTCTCCAACTATAATTGTGGATGTTTATTTCTCCTTTCCATTCTATCAGTTTTTTGCTTCATAAATTTTGCAACTCTTTTGTTTGGTAGATACACATTTAGAATTCTTGGGAGATTGACACTTATATTATTATGTAATGTCCCTCTTTGTCTTTGGAAATTTTCTTTCCACTGAAGTGTACTTTATATGATATTATTATTGCCACTCATGCTTTCCTCTGATTAAGGTTTCCTTGTCCCTTTTCTTTTTAACCTCTATTACATTATATTTGAATAGACAGCATACAAATGTAGACACCATACAGTTAGGTCATGTTTTTAATTTATTCTGCCAATCTCTGCTTTTACTTGGTGTATTTAGGCCATTTACATTTAATACGATTATTTATATGTTAAAGCTTAAGTTGCCTTTTTATTTATTTAGTTTTATTTTCAGTTTGTTCTATGTTTTGTTTCTTTGTTTATTTTCTTCCTGTGGATTACCTCAACAGTTTTAGAATTCCATCTGGATTTATCTATAGTAAATTCTTAAAAGATACTTTCACTGAATATGGAATTCTGGACTGACAGTATTTATTTTTTCAGCACTTGAAAAATGTACCTCTGACTACCACCATGACTTCTGATGAGAAGTCTGAAGTCATTCAGATTGCTTTTCCTTTACAGATAAAGTGTCATTTTTCTCCCTGCTTTCAAGATTTGTTTCTTTTCCTTTAGTTTTCAGAAGTTGACTACAGTGTATCTTGCCATGGGTTTCTTTGGGTTTATCCTTCACCCAGCTTCTTGAATCTATAGGTTTTTTTTGTCTTTTTGATATCTGGGAATATTCCAGCAATTACTTCTTTGATTACTTTTTCAACCCTAACTTCTTTGTCCCTTTCCTTCTCAGATGCTAATGACATGAGTGTTAGATCTTTTGTTATAGTCCCAGGTCACTCAGGCTCTGTTGTTCAGATTGTATAATTTCTGTTGTTCTACCTCTAGCTCACTGATTCTTGCCTCGATCCTCTCCATTCTGCAATTGAGCCTACTCATTCAGTTTTTTGTTTCAGTTATTGTGTTTTTCAGTTCTAAATTCTGCATTTGGCTCTTCCTCATAACTTCTGTTTCTTTGCTGAGACTTTCTATATCTTCATTTGTTTCAGAAAGCCTCGAGGCTGACTGGATTGCCAGGCAGGTCCTGCCAGGGGAGGCCTGGAGCTGAGAGCAGGGTGGGACTTCTGTCAGAGGCTTTAACCAACCCAGGTGGGGCTCAATACATCTTAGGTCCCTTCTTTTGCTTTTCTCCACTTTTTTTTTGGGTGGGGTGAGGAACAGGAGGAAGAGAAGGTCAAAGGGAAGGTGTTTTTCTCTAATAGTACTTCCGAACGGCCAGGATTTTATCTGTATGTTCACAACCAAATTGCTGTATGGTAATTGATGTGTATAGAAACAGTATTTCTACACTGTTGACTGAAGGAGTGAAGAAGTGACTCTCCCTCACACCCCTCCCTGCCCTAGACACCCTCTGCCCCTCTCCTAATGTGCCTTTGACCAATTTTATTGCTCCAGTTCCATTGGCTGATGACAACAATCATCATAAGAACCAGTGTTGTAGTTTGGTAATGGTCCCCAGAGATATCTAGATCCTACTCCCCGGGACCTGTGAATATGTTACCTTTTATGTCCAAATGGTACTTTGCAGATGTCATTAGGTTGGACCTGGAGATGGAAGAATTATCCTGATTATCCAGCTGGGCCCTAAATGCCATCACAAGTACCCAAGAGGGAGACTTTATTACAGGAGAGAGATGGTAGAAGAGGTTTGAGTGATGTGCTTTTAAGGTGGAAGAAGAGGCCACAAGCCAAGGAATACAGGTGGCCACCAAAAAGTCACAAAGGGCCAGAAAATGATTCTCCTCTCAGAGCCTCCACAAATAACCAGCTTTACTGATGTCTTGATTTTAGCCCAGGGGAACTGATTTTGGACTTCTAACCTCTATAACTGTAAAAGGATACATTTGTGTTGTTTGGAGCCACTAAACTTCTGCTGATTAGCTACAGCACCAATAGAAAATTCATACAACTAGTATCAGTGAGTGTTGCCCTATGGCTGTAGCTGTGCCAACTCAAGTAAGTCTCACCATGGCCCTGGGGGTAGGTTCTCTCATTAGCCCACTTTATAGATGAAGTAGGTAAGGCTTAGGGAGAGTGAGGATCCTGTCTAGGGGCACACAGCCTGCCAGGTGTGAGCACCCCAGCTGGTGTATTTAGGTTGCTGAGCCTCTTGTTGTGGGGAAGGGACTCCAGAAACAGGTGAGACCCCCTCCAAAAAGTTACTGGCTCCAAAATATAAAAAATAAAATGTTAACATTGAAAATGTTAACAATTAAAAAGCAAAATCATTAAAAAAATCTTTCCCCCTTCATGTTTTGTTTTCGGCAGAGCAGGTTCTCCTGAGCATGAATGTGGATCCCTCTGTAAACTGCTTGTTGGGATGAGAAGCCAGGCCTCCTGTGTGCTGAGTAGGGGGCCTCCAGGGGACTCAAGGGGCCTGGATCCAGACAGCAGCTAATTGTGGGGCCACACTGCCCCCAAAGGGACGGTGACCACAGGCCCAGATGCCCACTTGCCTCTCCAGCACTTTCTCTTCCTGGAGGAGGAGCTCCTGGAGTAAGCTCACTTGGCAAATACACAAGCAAATTCACTGTAGCTGACAAATGGTGCAACGGGAGTGCTACTTTACTGCAGGGACAGGCATTGGTGGTCTGGAGAAAAGATGCCTCATCTCATGGTACACACACACACACACACAGGCACACATTCACATCCATGCACATGCACACACATGCACATTCATGCACACACGCACACACACACACACCCATGCACATGCACACACATACACACACATGCATGCACACTCACACCTGCTGTGGAAAGACTCAGGGTTATCCCAGCACTCTGCCATCCCCATGTGAGCTTCAGGAGGGCTCTTCTTATCATCATCCCTGTTACCCATGAGGAAAGTGGGGTCAGACAGACTGATGGTTCAGATTTATGTTGCCCAAAAGCATCCAGACTGTGTCCAAGGGTAAGCCTGGACCTGGGGATCCTTGAGGTCCCTACCTGCACCTTCTCAGGCCCTCTCCCATGATTTGCGGGTGGCAGCCATCCATCCAGGGCATGAATGACTAAGAGACCATCTAAGAGTCCCATGGGTGGGAACTGGGGCAGCTGTGGGTGCAGCTTACCATCCTCGCTGAAGATGGGGGCAGTGTGCAGGTAGTGGGTGATGCTGGGGTCTCGTTCGAAGGGACACTCCACTTGTTTCCATGTGATGAACTCTCCAACCTGCTTGGACAGCTCCAGAAATTTCTGCCAAGGTCATAGAGAAACAAAACGGGAGCCCCACACAACCCCAGGGCCTGGAGGGCACCTGTGAGAGTGACCCTGGAAAGACCTCTCTCATCTCTGCCCATGAGGCCGGCCTCTGGGCAGGCAGGGTCACTTTGAGTGGTTGAGAAACCTGGTGTTAATCACATCATTTCCGCTGAGGAGTCTGGGGACACAGCAGCTCGGCTACGGCCACGAGCAGGCAGTGCATCTAGCTAGAGGCGAAGATTACTTTAGTTTCCTTCTATTTAAATTTATGGTTATCCCTACTTGTGGCAAGTTTGTTTATCTAGAGAATTATGCAAATAAATTTAAATACATGTATTAAGTAAAATTTAAATAAATTCATTTAAGTAGGATTTTACTTAAGTTGAACTTGAATATGTTTATTTCAACAAAACAAACTGCTAACTTGAAGGAGGATTTTAAATAAATGGCAGCACAAACTCATGACTGGGTGGAAACCCCATTCCATGGTGTCCTTTATCAGTGTTGGTGGCCTGCTCTAGCTCCCACGGCCTGTGCCCCGAACCGGGGGCCACATGGACACCTTGCAGCTTTGCCTCTAACCCTGCCCTTAGTTTTGAGGAAGAGTTCAGGAAGTCAAGAGATGGGGGTTCCCACCCCTGATGTGTCAGGGTCACATGGAGAGGAGGTCCCAGGTGCCCCTGGGATCCTGGACTCTTCCAAGCCCAGCCTCTTCCATGTCGCCTCCAGCCTGGACCAACCCTGGGACACGGGGCCCAGGCCACCTGCTGGACTGGACTTACCCTGCTATGCTGGCCCTCAGGGGCAAGCAGGCTTGGGGGCAGCAGATGGAGGCCTACAGGGGTGTCTGTGAGAGGCCCTGTGCCCCCAGCAGAGGCAGCTCCTGGCAAAGGGCCCAGATAGTATCTGGGACGCCATCAGCAGGGGGACTTGGGGGTGCCTTGCAGCATGACTGCTCTTTCTAGCCCCTCTGGGCAGCCATGGCTGAAGTTCCATTTTACAGAGGGAGAGACTGAGGCACAGGCAGAGACAGGGGCTGACTGCCCCTTGTAGCTGGAGGCTGGACGTGGGCAGCACTGGGTGGGGCCAGCCCTCCAGAGGGAGAGAAGCCCCCTTCCTGTGGGTTGGGGAGGGCCACTGTGGCACGTCATGCCCCGTGTGACTCAGTGACTGTCTGCTGTGACTGCTCAGTTCTCTCAGGGCTCCTGGGCCTCAGTCCTCACTATGTTCAGCACACCAGTCACTCTGAGACACCTGTGCTGGGTGGTCTCATTTGGCAGGTGGGGACACGGAGTGTCAGCCTGGCCTTGCTTCTGAGGAGCTTGGGGGCTGGAGTGCTATGACCAAGGGATGCCTGGCCCCCTGTGCACAGGTCTCCCTCCACCTGGGAGGTCAAGGGGGGCTTCCTGGAGAAGGGGACCCTTGAGCTGACAACCATGAGTGTCTGCAGAGGGAGTAGAAGTCTTTCTTTGCTGAGGTTGCCTCCTTCAGGAGGCCACCCCGACCCACGCACTGTGCCCCTGTGCAGCCAGTCACAGCGCCTTGCCAGTTGTTGCCATGGTTCTGCAGGGTTTTCTCACCAGCCTGGGGGTCCTCAAGGGCTGAGAATGATTCTGCTTCACCAGGGCTGGGAGCAAGGCCCACACAGAGTGGGGATCAGTATCTGCATGAGGCCCAGTCTCCTCCCATGGAAGATGGGGGGGTGGGGAGGTCCCGACTGTCTGCCCTGATGTCTTGTGAACTGTTGCACTTGGCCTCGGACGTCCACTTAGTCCAGCTGTTCAGGGCCAGGGCCAGGGCCAGGGAGCCTTCACCACCCTGGGAGCCTTCACCGCCCTGTCTAACCCTCTGAGGCTCCTGGGCCCTACCTCAAAGTTGACGTGTCCGTTGGGGAGGCGGTTGGCACAGCCCTCATTCAGGAAGTAGATGTCTTTGATGAGCAGGCTGAAGAAGGGAATGACAATCTGGAAGGGAGAGGGTGCATGTCAGCCCTTAGGAGGCCTCCCCGCAGGGGCTGCATGGGCGAGGTAGCCTGGCCACAGTCCCTGCGCAGGGTCCTGAGATGCAACCCCAGGAGGCAGAGGGCTTCTCGGTGTGCACCTCTGGGCAAGCGGGAACCACATAGAAAGGAGGCACAGGCTCTCACCCTGCGCCAGACTCCTCCCTCCCTGGCCCCGTCAGTCTCCCCTGTGTTGGGGCACAGTCCCAAAGGCCCTTGAACACATCTTCCATTGCCTGCTGGGTGAGGCTGGGGGAGCTTCCCCCACAACCAGGGAGACCACAGACCCAGGCCTCCCGGCTCACGTGCACCAGGAGGAACAGAGCACACCGAGCACACAGGTAAATACGTATGGATTGTGAATCGTCTGTTGTGAAATTTTGTGGCCTCCTTTATATACATATCATATATATTTATTTACAGCAACAAATAAATTTACATATTTAACGATTTGCCTAGTTTATTGTATGGAGGTCACCTGTGAGAGTGACCCTGGAAAGACCTCTCTTATATAAAGTGTATTAAAAAATTTGTCATTCTATGTCTTTCCTGATGCTGAAGATCCAATCCAGCTACATTACGGTACATCCAAAAGCTGCTGTTCCTGAGGGGACAGGCTTGGGGCTCAGCCTGCGAAGGGCGGGGTCTCTGTTTACCGACAGCTGGCTTGCTCCTCCTCCTTCCCTGCCCTGCACACGCTGATGGCTGGTCCCTGAGGAAGGGATGCCCACTGCTGATGACTCAGAACACCCTTGGGCAGCCAGCTGAGTCTGCCTGCCACTGTGAATTCGGAGTGGAGCGCTCAAAGTCCTCAACCCTGGGGCCCGTTTATGGGACCTTCTCTGGAGATGGTCTTTGGATGGAATCAAGTTACGGTGAGTACACACTGGATACGGTAAGCTTTAATCCAGGGACTGGTGTCATTGTAAAAGGAGAAAGTTTGGATACACACAGGACAGATGGCCATGTGGAGATGGAGGCAGAGATGGGAGCTTTGCAGCCACCTGCCAAGGACCACCTCGGGGAGCTGCAGGAGGCAAGGAAGGGCCCTCACATGGCGCCTTCAGAGGGCGCGTGGTCCCGCCAACCTTGAGTTCCACCTCTGGCCTCCAGAATGGTGAGAGAAGACATTTCTATTGTTCTAAGCCACCCAGTCTGTGCACTTTGTTATGTCAGCACCAGGAAACACACCTGCTCTGTCTGCCCCCCCACCCCCACCCCCGAGCTGGGCACTTGCCGCCAGCCAGCTAGGACTGGCCTCCAGCCGTGGGGCCGGCACTTGGCCCTGATACCCCTGGCTTTCGGGTGGGACCTGGGTGCCGACCACTCTGAAGCATGGACGGCTCAACTGGGCAGGGCAGGTGGGAAACTGAGGCCCATAGGGTGAGAGCACCTGGCCCAAGGCCACCCAGCTAGTGACCACCAGGGCCAGGACTGGGTCCAGGTTTAGCAGGGAGACCAGCCACCTGGTTTGCCCAGGACCAAAGTATGCAGGACTTCACGTGCTGAAACTGGGGCAGTTCCAGGGAAACAGTGACAAACTGGTTGCCTTAGATTTATGTCAATTCTGCAAGCATTTGCTCAGGTCTTCTGTGCATCAGGTGCCAGGGCTTGGGGGACAGTGAGGATGTGTCAGATGCATTCATCCCTGACCTCAGTGTAGCGGGAACAACTCCAGGGTGCAGAAGCCTCGCCTGGGTGGTCTTTGTATCCCAGGCTGTGTTCAGGCCCCATCTGTGCCCACAAAGAGCTCCACTTATGCCCTCATCAGAGGGTCATTGTGGTGGGCCTGATGCTTCACTGAGCTGAGCCGTATAGGCGGGTCCTCCCATTGAGTCCCGTGAAGCAGCGCTCTCACTACCCCACCTTACAGATGAGGAAGCCGATGCCCAGAGAGGCTGAGTAACCTGCACAAACTCACACAGCAGTAAGTAGCAGGGGCAGGACATGGACCCAGGTGACTTGGCCCCAGAGCCCCTGTCCTGCCTGCTTCCTCACTGTGCCAGGTGATCTCTACTGCACCTTCCTGCCCATCACTGGTGCTGAGCTCCAGGCCAGTGTGGGTGCATGGGGGCTGACCTGGGCTGGAATGGGGAGACATGCCAGGATGGAAAGGAGATTCAGGGCAGTGGGACTCTGCAGAAGGAGACAGCTCCTTGGGGCCTGGTGCAGGCTTCCCTGGAGGTGGAGGCATTGGAGCCGGTCCTCAGGGAGGTAGCATTTCCATCTGCGAGAACTTCTCACCACTTCTGCCTGTCTGTGTGGGTCTGGGCCACCCCCCCATTGGGCTTCAGCATCCTAGCTGGTCTCTTGCTCCCATGGCATGACTGTAAACCCACTGACCATGCTTTCTGAGGCTGAGCAGTTCCATCTGAACCTTCTCTGAGTGGGGCCTGTGACAGGGATGGGGGCAAGGGAGGGGTGGCCGGCATCTGACCACAGAAAGGAAGGAGTGGCAGGGACCCTGGGACCTCCTGGCCTCAAAGTTTCAGTGGGGGCACCGGGCACCACAACAGCATCTGCAAGCTTCCCTCCCTCATTCCTTCCTTCATCTTTCTGTCCTTCCTTCCACCCATTTATGAAACACCTTCTGTGGGCCTAGCCCATGATCTCTCTGGAGAATGTGGCGAAGTGAAATGCACAGCTCTTTAAGTCACCTGCCTTCAGCATCAAGCTCACAGCACAGCGGCCACCTGCCTTGGTCTGGAGGGAAAAGCAGTGCAGAGGCCGCGCCAGCTGTGACCGCCACTCAGCACCTGTGCCCCAGGGACGGAGGCAGCCTGCTGCTGTGCAAAGCCATGAGATCCAGAGCCGGGCAGGCTGAAGTGTGATTCTGGGCTCTGCTGCCTACTTGCTGTGTGACAGGGAGGCCTCTGCTCTGAGACTCAGCCTTCTGGTCTGAGAGATGGCACTGCTGCAGTCCTCCCCACAGAGCAGTTGTCAGGACTAAGAGGGGGATGGAGGTCAGATGGCCCTCCTGGGGTGAGTGCTAATGACAGGTGGTCCCTGTCCCTGTTGCCCTGGTTTGCCGGCCTCCTGGCCCTGGGGGCAGCTGCATCTCCCCTGGGATTTGAGGCCCTGCCTCACTAAGTGCTGCCTCTCTGCATCAGCCCTCCTGGGCCCTGAGTCACTGAAGTGTTCACAGCCTGAATAGGAAGAGCCAGCCAAATAGGACACAGCCCCCAGCGTGGCCGGGATCTGTGCACAATCCCTCTGTTGGGTGGGGGTAGAGGGCCAGCAAGGCCTGGTGGTTGGCACGAGCATGCATACCTCAACTGATCCCCAAACCTGACCACTGGCATCCATACAGTATAATTCCAGTGACTTAGAAGGTCAGGAACAGCAGCTTATTGTATTATCCCTCAAGCTGGAAACAGACCACAAACCACAAGGTCCCTGATCCCACCAAGGTCTGTTCAAGAGACCAGACTGAAAAGGCGTGACAGGTCCTGCAGTCTCCTCCCCGGAGTGATGAACAACCCTAATCACCCAGCAGTGACAGGCTTTAAGCCAGAGGATCACTGCAGTGCCCTCCATGTGTGGCTTGTTGTCCTGGAGGCCTCCAGGAGAATGTGGAGGAGAAATGAAACTGGTCAGGGTCAGCAAAGGCCCCCAAATGCAAATGTAGAAGAACGCCTGTGCAGAGGCAGTTTGATTAAGAGGCTTGTTGCAGGCATTGCAAAAAATATGAATGTCATCTGAGGCCACATCAATGAAGATATTGTGTTTAGAATAAGGAGGTGTAAGACCCTATGTACTTGGAACCACAGTTTGATCTGAAACAGAAGGGCCACTGATAAATGAAGCTGTCCTGGGATCAGAGAGATCCACACGGGGAGGAGACTGGAGATGGCAGCACTGCAGGCCAGGCCTGGGGCTGACTCAGGGGGAAGGAGGGCATGGGTCTGGGGGCTCTGGCAGACTGGCAGGGAGAAGACGGGGCAGCTTCCTCCACACAGCCCTCCAGAGAGGACAACTCTGTCAGGAAGCACTTCCTACTGGTTAGAGATGCGTGGCGTGGCTGCCCTGTTTGGGGATCTCCCATTCTGGAGGCATGCCAGCAAGGTGACATGGCTTTCCCTGACAGGTGCTCCAGAAGGCAGGGGCTTGGACTGGGTGACCTTGGGTCAGCATCCCAGTTCGCTGGGCAGGAGTTGCTCTGAAGGCTGGGCAAGCCTCTGGCCTACCTTCTCCCGGCTGCTGTGGGCGGTCAGGGAGCGGTGGGCCGCCCCGCGTAGGGCCGTTCTGTAGTTGCAGAAATTCCCTGTTGGGTCCATCTGGTGCTAGAAGGAGACGCAGGCATCTGGGCAGCTGTGTCTGGGGGTCGGCTGACGGCCCCCACCCTGCAACCCAGCAGCCTTGCTTTTACCTCGAGGATGAAAAACTTGGCCGTCTTCACCCTGGCCCAGGTTTTCTTCAGCCTGGAGACGGGGCTCATGTTCATGCCAGCTGCAAGAGGGTCGCTGAGCTGGGGGACAGCTCGGGCTGCACAGTCCCTCTCATGGCCTCGGACAGGGGGCTCTGTGCAGCCCCAGCTGGCCCAGACATTCAGGCTGCACGCTGAGCACAGTGATGTTGGGTGGGGGGTGCTGGTGCACACTGTGTCCGGGTGGTCTGGCTTCTGTGTTTGTGGGCTCCTGCCCCAGTGCCCGCCACACTGCCCCATAGGGTGACCAGAGCCTACTTTGGGCCCCACCCTCCCTGGATCTGGGGACACCCTGCTAAGCCCTCACCAAGGCCCCTGAGGAGGTCGAGCTCACCTCTAAAGGGACACCTCCCCAGAGGGGTGAGGAGAGCATGGGCCCAGCTGACATGCACCCCCTGCTCAGAGGAGTGCCCTGGCGTCCTCCCCACCTGCTGGCTCTGCCCCTCCTCTCTGGGTGCCCGCCCCAGCACCAGGCCCGGCCGGCCTACTCACAGATGATGGCCATCAGAGAGTTGAAGTTGCCAATGTTGAAGCACTCACGGGCCACGTCAATGAAGAACTCGATCACCTGTGCCCTCTGCTTCTTCTTGGCTGGCTGGGGACAGGGCACCCGAGTCTCAGCAATGACACATCCCCTGCTTGCCTGGCCAGGCCCTCACTGATCTCCTCTAAGGCCCATTTGTGGCTGAAATGCTTGATGCCGGGGCCAGCGGCAGCCCAAGCACATCCCAGGCAGAGCCAGCAAAGTGCCTGCAGCCATGGAGCCACCTGCAGTCCCCCTCCCGTCCCCAGTCCTGGCTCCAGCACCCTCCATGGCTCCCTCGCCTTTCCTCCCAGCCCCAAGCTCGCTCTGCCCACATGGGGTCATGCCCTGACCCCTCCATCACTTTCTTCAAACGACCGCATGACTTCACTCCCAGCTCAAGGCTGAGGGCTTGGAACTGCAACCCCTCTGATGGCTCAGAGCACAAGGTCTTCCCAGCCATCCTGGCCCAAGCGCTCCCTGCCTCCAGGGGCTCAATCTGGGCTGCACTCAGGTAAAGCGCAGGTGAGCTGCTAGGCTGGTGCATGTAGGAAGTAGACGGGCCAGTGAACACCAGGATGTGTTCCTTCCACAAGGAGATCCTGCCCACTGAAAGGGCAGCAGGGACCTGGATGACCATGGCAAAGTGTGCTGTGGAGCTGCCATAGAGGTGCTGCCCACATGCCCTTCAGAGAGCCACCTGCCAGAGGGCCTGCCTGTCCTTTGCAGGGCAGCCCTCACGATGACAGCGATGGTGGCCAAGCAAGGTGGGGGATAAAGGCCAGCCATTTCGCTGCTGTGGGCACTGGGACCGGACACACTCCCGAGGCTGCAGGGTCACAGATCAGCTTCTCCTCTGAGCAGCCCCGCCTCTTCCCCTTTCTCTGGCACAGGTGCTGGTCCCCATAAACACCTTGCACCCCAAACTCTGCTTCTGGCCTGAGCTGGCATCTGCGCCGCTTCTAATCTTTCCCTGACCCCAGGGCCCCCCACCTCTGGAAAGAAGGGAAGGTGGTGGCCAGGCTCTGGCCCCACAGGACTGCCACTTGGGGACAAGCCCGTCCCGCTGGCCATTGCATGGTCTTCCAGCTTTCTGGTTGAAGCCATAGGCCTGGACTTTGTATGCGCAAGCTCCCAATTCTCAAAGTTGGCTCATTTCCACCTCCCATTCCTGAGGGGGCCAAATGAGCACAGCTGCAGGCCAGGTGCCCAAGGCGGAGGCCCAGGTGGAGAATGCAGGGGAGCAGCTGACTGCCCCGACTCCCACAAGGCGGGGTCTCTGCCACTCTGTCCCAGCTGGTGGGTCCCTACCCATCCAGAAGGGAAACACCCCTGCAGACAAGCCGGGCATTACCCACTGTCCTGGAGGGGGCCCCCAAACCCCTGCCACCTCGCCCCACCCCGGGCTTGCTCCGCACCATGCAGATCTCCGTCGCCACGAGGAAGCACAGTCTGTTGAACCATTTCACGTAAGCCTCCAGGTTGTTAGTCTTGTCACTGAAACAAGGCTACAAAAGACACAAGGACCGCACTCAGTCTTTCTGTCAACGACGTTCTGAACATGGAGTCAGTTCATGATCATTACAATCTGGAAAATGGTGACGCCTCAAAGCCACCCATAAACACCAATGATTTTGATGTGCATTCTCCCCGTCTTTTTTCTATGCCCTTAAAGATGTATTTTAATGTGCTACATATTTAATACCATGTCTATACACCCACTTTTTATAGATTCTGGTCTTCAGTTTTCACGGATTCTGTTTGTGACTCTGTCTACTCCCTAAAAACGTCTTTGTAAGCCCACCATCAATGATGATGCCCTGTCATTCAGGCCACGTGCAGCGTGGCAAGCAAGGGCACCCCCTGCGTGCTGGTGCACCCCCAGCTGAGGCTAAGTGCTGCGCTGCCTTCCTGTTTCAGCTTCTGCATGTCACCAGGTGTCCTTTTCGCAGCCTCCTTGGTGTCCTGGTGCCTTCACTGTTTAAAGGGGCCCTGAGCACAGGGATGCGGTGTGGTCTGGCACTCCTAAGCACACCACGGTCCCCTGCAGGGAAAGTACCTGTAGATAACCTTGTTCAGACAATGGTCACAGTGCTCTTGGCTGTGAGTCCGATGTTACTGAATGAACACTACAGATTAAATAAAGTGTCTTTGAGCAGAAACACATCAAAAAGGTTATACAGTTGACCCTTCAACAACACAGGTTGGGACTGCATGGGTCCACTTAAATATGTGGGTTTTTTTCAGTAAATGTTTTTGGAGATTTGTGACTGAAAAAACACTTTCCTTGAGCTTACTTTATTGTAAGAATACAGTATATAATACATATAACATATAACATATGTGTTAGTCGATGGTTTATGTTATTGGTAATGCTTCTGGTCAATAGTAGGCTATTAGTAGTTAAGTTTTTGGGGAGTCAAAAGTTGTAATCAGATTTTCAACTGTGTGGGGGGCAGGGGGGCAGTGCCCCTAACTTTGGTGTTGTTCAAGGGTCAACTGATACTGACTGGTTGATGAAAATGTGATGAGAGGCTTCCAAGGGACCCACTCCTGTGTCCTCTTAGGAGCAGTGGTATTTGCTAAAAATGAGGATCCACTGCTGTGTGGGGATGTATATATATATATATATATATATATATATACACACATATATCATGTTAGATACATATATTAAATTAATCTTCAAGTGTTTGGAAAACTTTATAGGATATGACTAATTTGAATCATGAGAATCAACTATATATATGTATTTTTCTGTCTACATATAACTATATATATATTTCTGTATTCTCTGCATGAACCTTTGGAAATGTAATTTCTTAATTGATTTAGAACATTCCACTGTATAAATGTACCATAATTTAAAAGATTAAACTGAAATATACATATTAAAATAGCCAGGGTGACTTCAGTAAATAGAGGTGGGGATGGAACAGGGGATTTATTAGTGTAAAAAAGGTATAGAAAGGAGCCAAAAAGACATGGGAAAGGTAAGCGGGTAACTGAGAGGGGGGATGGGAGACTGCCAGAGCAAATCCATACACATCACAATTCCCATCATTGTACAAATCCAGCAACTTGCTATTTTCAAGAGACACACCCTAAACCCAATGATAAAAGTTAAAAATATAGAAAAAATATGATGAACATCACATAACTGTACTAATGTTAGATAAAATAGACCTTAAGGGAAAAAAAAGATTCTGAGGCAAAAAGCAGTAGAAGAGATCAAAGGGTAACTGCATAAGGTGAAGGTCTGGATTTCCTGAAGGTGTGTCACAGGTGCAAACTTGTTTGCACTGAACAACTAGCTCAAAATAGGAGGCAGAAGTAATCCAAAAGGTGAAGTTCTTCATAAAGGGAAATTAAGTCCTGTTGTCACAATGGAAGATTTTAACCTACCTGCTGGTGAGGAATAGTTTATGGAGATTAAAAAAAAACCCAGTATGAATATAAAATTGAATACGATTTACGTAATTGAGGTAACGGACATGTATGGAAGCCTGCCATCTGAGAATGTACATTCCACTCAGATGCCAGAAATCTAAAAACATTTTAAAATAAGGTATGGATCAAAGATGAAATCATAGTGGAAATTAAAATGAGAATGAAAACATTGAGAAACAAAATTTGGAGGCTGCACATAAAAATATATTGAGAAGGAGATGAACAGTCTTTCATACTTTGATTCAAAAAGAGTAAGAAATCAAAACAACATCGAACCTAAAGATTAGAAGGACAGAACCAACCCAAAGAAAGTAGATGGAAGGAAATAGCAGGGATTTGAGAAAAAAAAATGAAATAGTAAAGAAAGGTGCAGCATATAGAGTCAATAAAACCCAAAGCTTTTTATTTAAAAAGACTAATACAACTGATGAGCAGTTGGCAAGACTGATGAAGAAACAGAGAGACAAGTAGACACAAAGACTGTTAGAGATGAGTCAAGATGGGTGTGAAGAAATAAAAATGATTAATAGAGATTATGGTGAATTACTTTCTGTTTATAAATGTGAAAACTTCGGAGGAATGGTCAGATGGCTGGAAAAATATATGTTATAAAACAAGAGTAAAGAAGAAATAAAAAGCCTAAATAGTCCTCTAACTATTGAAACAACAACGAATGAACAAGAAATCCTTGAATCAGTACAGAGTCTCCCCTAAAGGGAAGTAGCAGGCACAGTAAGGGAAATAACAAGCCAATCTCTTTAGAACAGTAGAAATCCTAAACAAAACCCTAGCAAACTGAATTGAGGGATGCATGATAAAGATACCAGTCAGGACCAAGTTTCATGTAGCCCAGAAATGCAAAGTTGGTTCAACACTGAAAAGAAAACGAATATAAATAATCATTGAAGAGCTTAAAAGGGAAGAGAACATGTGGCTAATAGATACAGAAAAAGTATTTAATAAAATTCAACAACTATTCATACACAATAGGAACTCTCAGCAAACTAAGAACAGGCAAATTTCCTAAGTGGATAAAGGGCATCTAAAAAAATGCAATAGGAAACTTCCTATTCTATTGTGACATGTTGAAAGCATTCCATTTAAAATCATGACAGAAGAAGGATGCCAGCTCTTAACATTTCCATGTAATATCTACCAGAGTGCTGGTTAGCACAGTAAACAAGAAAAAGAAATGCTAGGAGTCAGACTGAGCAAGGTTTCTCAGCAATAACTAATAACCCCAACATTTCAGAGATTTAAAAAACAGGATCTGTCATTCATGTCTGTCCCATATCAGCAGAGGATTCCTTGTATGGCTACCACAGAAATAATAAGAATAGGGACTGGAAAGGAAGGAACAAAACTATCATTGTTCCCAGAGGATGTAATTTTCTACATGAAAAACACAGAAGAATACAGAAAATTATCAGAATGAATAAAAATGCACAATATCATCAATTATAAAGTTGATATACAAAAGTAAATAATATTCCTTAAACCACACAGTTATGAAATACAATAAAGAAGATGCCATATATAATAGCAAAATATTCATAAGATACTGAAAGGAAAAAAATTAATATCTGTTTAAGATTTTTATGGTGGTAGTTATAAAACATTACAAAGATGTTATAAACTAGACCTAAATAAACTGAGGGACACACCATCAGTATGGGTTAGAGACTCAATATCATAAAGATGTAAATTCTTCCCAAATTGATCCATACTTAATACATCCTAACAAAATCTTGATAAGACTTTTCATTGAGTTTGACAAGTGATTCTTAAATTTAAATGGAAAAACAAGGGGCCAAGAAGGGCCAAGCCACTGCTAATGAAGATCCAGGGGACCCGCTTTACCAGACAGCAAGATGGATCATACAGCCATGATGCTGAAGGCAATGTGCGCTGACATAGAGACAGAAAACTCCATTAGAGGAGAGCAGACAGTCCGGGAGTATATCTAACACATACAGAAACCTGATGTGTGACAGCATCAGAACCTTCAGGGCTCATGTCATAAACAATGGTGCACCTAAATAATGGTGCAAAAACAATTGGTCATTTGTAGGAAAAAATCAGCATGGACCTGTACCTCAGGCCATCTCCACAGAATGAATTTCAAATCAAAGACTTAAATGTGAAGGGCAAAATGTTACAGATTCTAGAGGAAAAGACAGATTAACTTTATGACCTAAGTAGGGAGTAGAGAGGGAGTTCCTAAACCCCCCATTAAGGAAAAGTTTGGTAAATTTGACTAGGTTAAAATTAAGAACACCCGTTCATCAAAACATGTAATAATGAGAATAAGAAGCAACACAACCTTCCAGGAGCTGGACATTTGTAGTACATCAAACTGACAAAGGATAATTATCTAGTACATACTTTTAAAAAAACCTCATAAAAAATTCTCCAATCCTTAAGAAAAAGCCAGCTCACCCACAGGAACCTGGATGAAAGTCAAGGACAGGCCTCTCATAGAGTAGAAAGCAAGAATGTCCAAAACACGTGGAAAGATGCTCCCCTGAACAGTTTGACCAACAGGTAAAGCTCTGACAATTCCCAGGGCCAGCGAGGTCGGGGAGCAAGAACAGCTCTCTGCCTCAGTGTGAATGGGTACAGCCTCACTTCTTGGCACCTCCTGGTAAGGCTGAGCATGTGGCCAGCCCGTGACACAGTGCCTTCCCTACTACATGTGTTGTAGTGTGACAGTTCTCCCAGTGCTGTTCACAAGGGCACAACTATTTTCATATCCATGCAATGTCATTCCCTTTTCACTCTGTCAACATCTGCATGGAATGGTGGATAAAACTGCCGCTACCGCAGCCCGAATCCAGGCAGAGGCACGGATCCACATGGTGGCCGCCGTGCCCACCCACTCAAAGTCAGACAACATGTGACTTAAGAATGTCCTGGAGGAGGCAAAATGTTTCCATTTTATGACATCTCAACCCTTGTGTACACTTTCTTGCATTCATTTGATGAAATCTAAGTACACAAAAGCTGTCTACAGAAGTCTGATGGCGGCTGTGAGGCAAAGCAGTGGGGTGGCTGACTTCTGAGCAGAACTGGCCACTTGTCTCATGGAACACCATGTTTGCTTGAAGGAATGACTGACCAGCTATGGTTTTTCAGCCTTTGGGATTTGACTGACGTTCCCTTGACAATTGACAAAATCAGGCCAATCACTTCAAGGACAACAAGGGCAGATATCTGTGGCCCATGATAAGATTCAGGTGTTCAAGAGAAAATTAGGAACTTGCAAAACATGTATCTGCCACCTGACCCTGCCAGTCTCTCAATAGTTAAGGATGTTTTTTGGATGAGATCAGTAGAGATATTAATTAATGTGATTTTATAATGAAATGTGCCAACATTCGGAAGATCTTGATTCACTGAACTCCTATTTCCCAAGTGACCAATGTGTGAAGTTATAAAATCATGCATGAGCAAAACATCCATTCAAGAGGGCAAGATGAATCCATGGGTTTTAATGCAATAGAGCACAGAAAGCCCAGTGATGTATTTTTAGACTCCAAATTGCAAGTAATCTTTCAAAACTACCACTTGCTGCATTTTGCATAGAATTATCTGAAAAGGATGTGAAATATACTCCTCCCTTTCCCAATTACAGCACAAGGGTGGATTTCTTTCAACCAAAATAATGTATGTCAAGAGATTGAATGCAGAAGCAGATTAGAAAATCCAGCTGTTTTCTATTAAGTCAGTCTTTAGAGATTTATAAAAATACTAAATACTGTAAAATAATGTCACTCTTATCAGCAGTTTTGTATTTTGGAAAATATGGTATTTTTCATAAAATAGGTTTACTTATGTGTTAACATACAATGGGTTATACTGTTATTTTTGAAAGCGTATTTTAAAAAGTTATCTGTTTTAATGGCTAAAATGATAAATATCACAAGATTAATCTACATAACCAGAAGTTCTTTGGGACCCTCAATAATTTTTTAGAGTATAATGGAGTCCAGAGACCAAAACATTTGAGAACTGATACCCTAGAAAAATATGCACCCATGAGCACCAGAGAACATGTAAGAATGTTCGTAACAGCAAGATCTCTAATAGCAAGAGGCTGGAAACATCCGTCAGCAGTACAGTGTGTGAATAAAAAAATACATGCACTCTTGATGTACTTCACAATGAAAAGGTAACACTTGGGAAGGGCTGAAACTCAAAACCAAAACAAAGAAAGAAAGTAAACACCTTTCTCCTTCCCGAATTTCCTTCCCTCTCCAGCCCACAGCCCATGCTGGGTTCCCCAGAGTGACCAGTCTTCCTCGAGATTGTCCACACTCCTGTGCAAGCACATAAGTACATGAACCCTCCTTTTTGTTGTTATGCAAATGGTCACATACTCTTTGTCACTGCTCTTCACTCTAGTTTTTTTCCTCAGGTGTCAATCTTGGCGATTATTCTGTACTTACAGTCACATTTATTCTTTTGAATAGTTGCAAAGCATTCTATGCATGGATGTATTATAATTTTTAATCCAGCCCCATGGATGATAAGGTAGTTTGATTCCAGCCTTTGGCCATAATAAATACTGTATATCCCAAATACCTTTATGCACACATCTTTGTGTGTATGGGTGTGTATAACTGTAGGAAAAACTAGGAGGTACGGAAAGTTTGGGGTCAAGGGTGTACCTTTCAAGTGTTGACGCCATTACCACACTGCCCTCCAAAGCGGCTATGCCGATTTCACCCCCTACCAGCCTGTTCCCTACACACCCGCAATGCTTAGCTGCTGCTTATCTGAGAGGGGCAAATACAATCATATTTAGTTTGGACTTCTTTTATTAGGCAGGAGAGAAGACACATGTTTTCAGTTCTGGTTCAGATCTAACCCCGCTGATAAACACCAGGTACCCTGCTAGTTGGGCTGGAAGGGAAGGGTAGCTGGAAATCCAGTGTGTGGTGGGCGTCCTGAGCACGTGGCCCAGGGGCCACCGCAACCCTTGGAGGGAAGAACAAGGTTACCTTTCCTGGGCAGGGCACACCAGCCTGAACTCCCCCAAGTGGCCACTAGAGGGCACCAGCGCCCACAAAACACCCCAGGAGCGCTGGGTCCCAAAAGGCAGTGCATCCTTTGCCCTCCTCCCCACCCAGGGCTTCAGCTCTTCCCTGGCTGGGTGGGTGACTGGCCGGCTTTCGTGGGGACTCAGGGCTGTAGTAGGGCTGAGAGTATGGGTGGAGCGGGCAATCCTTTCAGAGCCCATCTTCTGCACTCTGGGACCCTCCCAAGCCTGCCCAGCTGATGCTCACAGGATCCCCTGGAGGGGCCCGTGAGTGGGGAGCACTGCTGGATCAGCCAGTCCCAGGGCCTTCTACCTTTGTGCTGGCCAGAGGGTCCTTGTTCACAAAAGCCTGGACAAACTCCTCAGGCCCGATGTGTCGCAGCTGCTCCTGCATTAGAAAGGAGGTGAGCAGTCAGGGAGAGGGGGAAGGCTTGGGGAGGCAGGAGCCCACTGGGGGCCTGGCACTGTGCTCCTGTGGGCTCCCTGCCTCTGAGCCCACCCCAGCAGCGCCTCTGGACACTGTTCTTCCCTCTGGGGCTCCACAACCCTGTTTTAGGTTGTCACAGAGCTCAGTACTATCCTGAAGGAGGCAGCCCCAACTTTCCCAGGCCCAGAGGCTACCACACTTCACAGGGTGGGGGAGAAATGTCCCCTTAGGAAACGCTTGCGGCATGTGACATCGAGGAAACCAGGCTTGAAGTTGGCAAGCCTCCGCAGGGGAGGCCTGGAGGCTGAGCATAAGGTCTAGGTCAGAAGTGAATCCTGGCTCTGTCTTCTCTGCTGTGACTTCTGACAAGTCACTTAACCTCTTTAGGCCTTAGTTTCCTCATCTGTGAAAAGGTAACAATAGCATCTACCTGGCAGGGTGGTGGTAAGACAGAATGAGAGTGCTGAATGTGAGGGCCGAGCACAATGCCTGGGGCAGCAGCGGCCCCATAAATGGAGGTTTAGAGGTAAAGAGACCTCCTCCCCAGCCTCCACTCTCTCTGGGGCAGGCCCCAACATGTGGCGACCAGGCTAGGGCATTCCTTCCCAAGTAGGAAGGCCTGTCTGGGCTTCTCTGGAAAGTGTCTGTGTGGGCACTGGATGGAGAACCTGAGGCACTGGTGGACAGCACTCATCCTGGAGGATCACACAGCAGGTGGGGCTCGAACCAGGGTTTGAACCCAGTCCCTCTATCCCAGTCCAGGACTCTGAGACAGGCCAGCATTGGAGCTGGGCAGGGCTGGTACGCAGCCCTCCTGTTCCTGGCCTCAGAGCCAGGCCCCCCGGACATGCTGGGTCCCCCAGACATGCTGAGATGGCCCTGCTGTGATGGGCTCAGGCCCTGAGTTATGCAGAGACAAGGAGGGGGCCATGGGGGAGGACTGGTGACTAGAGGCTCTCAATTGCTGCCGGTGTGGGTTTTGGTGGAAGGTGGCCCAGGCCCACTCACCAGCTCCACATGGGTCAGCTGCTGGGCCAGAGTGTAGGGGTCACTGCAGACACCAAGGAGTTCCCTGTGGATGGAGGTGGGTGGCTTGGTCCTATAGGAGATGGGCTTGTCAGCGCCCAGCAGGCCCTCTGGGCCCTGGCCCAGAGCCGCCAGCTTCTGGTGCAGAGCCTGCAGGAGCTGATGCATCCTTTTTCGGTATGCCTGGAAGGGGATGGAAAGAGGGGTGCTCAGGCCTGAACCCCCATCTCCGCAGGCCTGACATCTGAGGTGGGAGGGCTCCCAGGCTGCCAGGGATGAGCTGTTCCTAGGTGGGCCTGCACCCGCCCCACCCGCAAATCAGGCCCCAATCCAGGGCAGGCTGGAGTTGGGGCCAGAGTCAAGGCCACGGGGCACAGGGGGTGGGGGTGGGGCTGCCACACTACAGTGGCAGCTAAGAAATGCACCCATCAGGGAGGCACCGAGGACCAAAGCCTCCTCAGCTGCCTGGGCAGTGGGGCAGGCGGGCTGGGCCCTGCCAGGGCCATGCAGGAAGGGGACGTGGATGGGCCCTCCCCAGGAGCTGATCTTTCACTCAGGCCCAGCTCAGAAAGGCCTTCCTGTCCCATCTCTACCCCAACAGTACCTCACTGGGACACCGTGTGACTCTCTTACAGGACCGCTGTGGGGATGACTGTGGCTGTTGCTCCCCACTAGAAGGACAGGGCAGGGAAGTCTGCATTGCTAGAGCTGGGCCTGGCTCCAGATACACAGTGGGCCCTCAAGAGCCACTTACTATATCAACAAAGTCTCCGGTCATTCAGCTCACACAGGCAAGTTCCCATTTTGGGCTGCCCTCGAGGGACACCCGCCCTTCCAACCTCCCATCCCCACAAGAAAACTGATTACTTCCAGCTCAAGACCCCTCTTTCCAAGGAAGGTACCATCAGACCAGCCTGGATTATTAAGTGAGCTGTCCACACATTCCCAAGGGTAGGGTCAGTGACGCTCAGAACGAGCCCCTGCACTTGTCGGCAGATGTCACATGCCCAGGAGCCAAGAAGTGGCAGTGAGCCCCTGGGGCCTGGCCTCCTGCAATGAGTCAGGTGGTGGGGCCACCGGCAGGGCCTAGTCGAGGCCTGGAGCATGACGGTGGTGAACAGTCAGCACTGCCAGGTAATTTCAGGCAGAAAAGGCACTTCTCACGCTGCCTGGAGGCCCCAAACCCAGTGGCCTTTTGCAGGAGGGGAGTCCGGCTTGCTGGGCTGAGTGTGCCCTGGGGATCTAGGTGGTCCTCAAGTCTCTGATGGGGACCGAGGAACTGCAGAGGCCCACCACTGTTGGTGTCCAGAGTCTGGTGATGGAGGTAGCGCCCACCCAGCCCTCGGTGGGGGCTTCCCTGTGAAGCGGTCAGGGTGGCTGTGGTGGAGCCTTAGACACAGGGATCAGGACAGGGGGCTGTCAGCCTGAACCCCAAGCTGAACCCTAACTCCCAGAGGGGCAGACCCAGAAGGCACCTGCTGGTGAGCTGGGCAGTGTGCAGGTAAACTGAGGCACAGCTCTTTCCTCTGGCGCCTGTGGAAGGAACAGCCACTCTCAGCTTTGCTATGTGTGAAAGGGTGATCTGCTCACTGCCTCCGGGCCTTCACCTGAATGTGGCAAGAGGGGGAGCCAGGTCCAGCACTGCCAGCCTGAGTGGCATGGCCAGTCAGCGGTGGTCTCTCAGGCTGTCCTCATCTCCCACACTCACCCTCCCCATCTAGCCCCCTCCCAGCAGCCTCCCTGGGGCATCATGGGGCCATGACCCACGGCCTAGGCTTCCAGCTCCTCCTGACCTGGGCTGTGGGCAGGCCTGTTTGCACCACCGGCAATGCCGGGTCCCTCCTGTCCCATGTGGCCCTCCCTGGCCCTCACTCTGGCCCTGGGTGCTGGGCAGGCGGGTTCACCCCCAGCAGGCCGTTCATGTGGACAATGCCCAGTGTGCATGCGCAGCTCCTTCTCTGGCCCCCAAAGCCACACAGCCAAGGGGCCACCCAGACCCAACACATGCAAGTGGGCGTCACGCTCTCCTCGCGCAGACTGTGTCCTCTGCCTGCATCCCTGCCTCCATGAATGGAGCGCCAGCCCTGGGCACATAGGCCGGGAGCCATCCTCAGGCCGCCCTCTCCCTCATGCCTCGATAGGCCATCGCCAGCGCTCTTGATTTTGCTTTTTTCCATTTGCTTGTCTTCCACCACGGTCTCTGGTCCAGGCCACTGTACCTCCCTGGCTGCTGCAGCTGCCTCCGCAGTGGGCTCCCTGCATCCACGCCTGGCTTTCTCCACTCCACTCTGTCCAAAATGCACATCTGACCCCTGCATCCCTCTTCCTTAAGATGCCCCCATGCTTTTGCAAAACACAAAGGCACCAAGTGACTCAGAGGCTCTGAGGTCAGCTCTGGCCATGCTCCATGGCCTCAGAGGGCCTTTCTCCCCTTCTCTATGCTCCAGAAACAAGTCATTCCTCCATGCCCTTGACCTCTGCTCCTGCCACCCCAGCAGGGCCTTGCAGCCTGTCCCTCTTGCCATGTTCTCCCTGTGCTCAGCACACGGGGCTTCCTTCCCAGCCCTTGACCAAGCCACGATCGGGGGTTATCCTGTTCCCTGCATCTCCTCTCACTGGACCACCAGCTCCACGAAGACAATACCAGGCCACTCTTTGCTCGTCCCCAGCTTGAAGAGCAGTGCCTGGCCCCTGGGAGGGACACACAGACATCTGCCGACTGGGGGAGTGCAGCCTCGCCAGCTCCTATGCATCAGCCTCTCCAGTGCACGCCGCCAGGCCCCGCAAACTCCAGATGCCGCGAGACTTTGCTCGTGGTTGACAGAACCACATGCTCACCCTATTTAAAAATGTGAACATAATTTAGCAGGACTTTCTTCTCCTGAACCAGTTCTCACTCTAAATCACTAACATTTCTGTTTGCTGATTCACTGAGCATTTTCCCCTTAGGGCTCACCTCAGCTTATTTGTTGGCTCTTTCCCGAATCTTTGGCTCCCTTTCTGACGTGGGGTGGCACTGGGCCTTCTCTCATTTTCTAACTGATTTCTGCACCCTTGTGGACAGAGGGTTGCAGATCTTGGTTCCACTGGGCAGACCCAGGGTCCTCCCACTGAGAACACGGAGGCATTCTCTCACCCCTGTCAGGAGTCCACATTCGGGGCACTGGGGTGTGGGCGGCACAGCAGAGCACCTCTCCCCATGGCTTGCCCACATGCCATCCACATCCCCAGAGGCACCTGCTGCATGCACGGAACTCGGTTCCAGGGCAGAGGCTGTCCCGGGTGGTGGCTGTGGTTCTCTGGGCACCCCCTGCACCGGGCATTTCATGGTAAGAACCTGCTGCAGTCAGACAGGCACAGGCCCCTGGTCTCTAAAGTTCTTGGAAAGTCTCTCCTGAGCCAGCCCAGGGTGACATGCAGTGGGCCCAGCCCTTCTGCATGGGCAGAAGTCCCAAGCCCACCCAGTGCGTTCTCCTGTCAGCTTTCCCTGGAGGGCTGTGGGTCTGCCCAGCAGGCAGCATGTGGGCCAGCAGGAAGGTCTGTCCCATCCCAGGGGGCCCGCTGCTTCTGAAAGGGCTCCACCAATGGTAGAGGCAGGCCTGCTAAGGCTGGGTGACCCCATCTTGTCCATGGGGAGACCTCACACTGTTGAAGGCCTCTGGGGAGAGGGAGATTGAGCAGGAGACTGGGCTCTCTCTCCTTCAGAGCCTCTGTTCCACCAGCACCCATCGCTCTCCACCCCTCTGCTGCAGCCCATCCGCTTTCATACAGTCACCCTCCCAAAGTCCATCATCACTCATCTATCCTTCCTCCCTCCTGTCTAACGTCAGCCACCCACCCACTCCTCCATCTGCCCTCCCATCCATCTACGCATCCGTCCACCCACCTGCCCACCATTCCCACCTTTCTCCCTGCCTTCTTTCCATTCATCTTCCCATGTCTGCTCACCCCATTAACCCACCTGGCTGCTCAATTACCCAGACATCTGTCCTCCTCACTATCTATCCGGCCTCTTAGCCAACATCTCCCCTCTCTGCTTCTACCCCCGTCCTGATGGGTCTGTGCTTTGTCCCACCCCAGACCAAGTGTCACGGCCCCAGCTGGGTCAGAGGAGGAGAGGGCCCTCATCTCAGAGCCCTCAGAACAGCTAGGTCGCTCATCTGCTCTGTGAACTGGCCCCAGGGCAGGGCCGCCTCTCTAAGAGTGTGTTGGGCCTTGGGCTTTACGGCTTCCTTTGGCCAGCCTGCCTGACAGTTTTCCTTTGCATCACATGCAGCAGGCCCTGCACATCCAGACCCACTCTGAGACATATCTCCAGCTCCCAGCTTGCCACATTCAGTCTTCTCCCAGGGCTGCCGACACTCACTCCCCGGAAGGTTCTTTCCTTCCACATAAAGCCACATCAGTGCTGGCCCCAGTCTTCTGGGGATGCTGACACACTGCCCCTTGCAAATGTGCCAGGAGACCTCCACCCCTTGGCTGCAGAGCGCTGCAGACAGGAGCAGGGCAGGACATGGCCCAGAAGCCCACAGTGCCCATGCACCGGCTGCCTCCCGAGCCCCTGGACAGCGAGGGCTGTGTTGGCCTGGGGTGTGGTTTAGCTGCCAGGGGCTGTCTCTCCTCTGCCTAGTTCGGGCCCTGCCAGGCCAGCCCAGTGGGTTGCTGACCAACAGCCCTACCTTGTGACTCCAAGAGCCCATGAGCGGGTGTTCCCTCGCCTGCCTCTGGTGCCAGCAATGACCACAGGGCAGCAAAGAGATCAAGAGACCAGCCCTGGACCTAGAGGCCTGGTTTCCCTGCCAGCTCTGTTGGCCTGGTTCCTTGATGGGGCAGAAAGGGGGTTGTGATGTACAGGTGGGGACCCGGGACCCTGAGGTGACCCTGGGAACAGGCCCAGGGACCTGCGTGAGGGCTCACGGGGTGCAGTAAGGGTTGCCCACTGTTCGCTCACCTCATCACAGGGGGCGATGCGGCCCACCACGTCCTTCAGGTGCCCGATAGTTGACTCCTCCTGGAAGTCCCTTGGAAATGTCTCTGTCCATTCGGCCAACAGCTGGAGCAGTTTGGGACCAAACTTCCTGACCTGGGCCTGCAAGGAGCCAGGGGAACAGCCCTGCTTGGTGATGGGCCTGCGGCGGGGCGGGGCCACATCAGCCCCGCCTCAGCCTCTCCCTGCATGTCCTCTGCCCAGGGCTGGGGTGCCCAGGTGTCACTGGAGGTGGCTGTGGCCAAGGGGGTTGGGCTGCGTGCCTTTCCTGGGCTGGGGGCCAGGCAACAGGGATGGGACACGGGGATGGGGAGCAGAGGGGGACAGACACACATTTGGAGTGGGGTCATCTCAGTTTTGCCTGCTGGGCATCACATATCCTTTCCTGTGGGGACACCATCTCAGTTTGCCTTGGGTCCCCCATAATTCCCAGTCTGTGGATCTCAGGAGAAGCTGACCCCATCCCAGGGCTCCAAGAGCCCCACCGTGCATGTGGCCTGAGATCAGGACTTTTATTGAGACCTAATGAAACTGGGCCTCTCTACTGGAATTGCGATGAGTAGACGGTGAGCCTGGAGTGGCAGAGGCCACCTGGCACCATGCAAGCAGAACCTCTTCCCGCGAGAGTGAGAGAGGTTCTGGCCCCGGGGGAAAGTGGAACAAAGGGTCGGGGGGAGAAAGACCACATTTTAATGAAGTCATTGAGCCCTGGAGCTGGCAGTCCTTGGGACCTTGCTGTTACAGGAGCCCCTGAGGTCCCTTTGTCTGGGCCACTTGAAGCTGGGTTTCTACCACTGTGAGGAGAGCCTGACCAATACACAGGTAAGTGGCCAGTCACCGGTGCGCCCGTGGGGTCTGGCCAGGGATGGTGGAAAGGATATGGGGACCACGGGAAGACTGGGCTGTCAGCAGACCCCACAGAGGAGGGCGGGGTGAGAGGAGTGTGCTGGCAGCTGCAGGGCCGTCCCAGATGCCAGGGGTTCTCCTGACGAGGCTCTGGAGGCCTGAGTCTAGGCTTGGTGTGTGCTCAAGGGCTCCCGGAGGGTGCTGGAAACCCGCACCGCGGGGAAGGGTTCAGACAAGTCAGAGACCCCTGCGGGCTCCTCATCAGGAGACCGGGGACCCTGATCACTGCCTCCCTAAGAGGCTGACGCCCCAGGGCTGGGACACTCAGAGCACCCTGGCCTGCCCTCACCTTGTCCAGCACTGGCTTGTCCAGCTGCTGCTGCTCAACACACAGGTGGCAGACCCGGGCCAGGAGCTCCCGGGGCTCAATGAACAGGCGGGAGCTCAGCAGGAAGGTGAAGATGTAGGCTTTCTGGGAGCAAATGAGACAAAGGTGGCACATGCTCAGGAGGGCATGGGGGTGGGGATGTGCTCCCAGACTGCCCTGCCCCCAGGGCCCAGGCCCAGTCCTGGCCCTGCTGTCTCCCCCATGCCCAGAGCAGAGCCCCCCACTGGGTGGTCTCCCACCTCGGGGTAGTAGTCGGCCGTGGGCACCAGGTGCTGGATCAGCATGTCCAGGGAGGCTGAGGACGGAGCTCCGTCCAGGAGGGGCTGTCCAGCCTGCGCGCCATCTGTGGGCTCCATCGGGGGAGGGCTGAGGCTGCCCGGGGTCACCATGTCGGAGGCGCTTAGGGTCTGGGGCATGCCTGCCTGAAATGGCAAGGAGGTGCTGGGCTCACTGGAGCTGTGGCCTGCACCCCCCAGCTCCTAGCTGGGTGGGCCCTGCCTCCCACAGGCCCTTCTGTGCCCATTGAGCCCTGTGGTCACTTCCGGGAGGGCTGCCAGGGACCCCTCGCCCTGGAACCACCTCTCCTCCACTCTCAGTGCCCACCATTCAGGGATTGACTCCTTTCAGAATTCACTCCCACCCTTTGAAGGCCATTTTTGGGAAGGCCTCGACAATCAGCATATCTTTCTGCCCTAGCCACAAAGATTAGCTCATGGAGGGCCAGATCCAAGCTGGAGGACTCAGGTGTAAGTCCCCAAACTCTGCAGCACATGGAAGCTCCCTTTCCCCTGGCATCCTTGAGCTGGTGGAATGGTGCTGTTGGGACCCTCTTGTCCCCACAAGGGCCAGGAGAGTGGACACATTGCCGAGGTCACCGGGGAGGTCCTGGATCCTGCTGTGCCTGAAGCTGCCCTGTGGACTTCTCCCCTGCATGAGCCTGGTAAAGGTGCTGCTGAACAGCTGCCTTCAGGCCTTCCATCTGTCATCTCCACCTGTAGTGGGGACCCATCTGTGGGCGCTTGGTGGAGAAAGGCCACCTGCTGCTGTACGGTGACATATCCACCCAAACCTCCAGGCGGGGCCAGGGTACCTGCTCTGATTTGGCACTGCGCCAAGGGCCTGGCCTGCCACAGGCGTTGGTCCACGTGTGCAGTGACCTGTTTCCTCGGCCAGGCTCATCCATGAGAACACAGGCCAGGCTTCCTGAGTGAAGCTTTCAGTGAGCTCTCTGCGGGTCCTGGCCAAGCCTTAGGATTTAGCCATGCCCCACGCTAGACATTCAGATCACCCCCATTCTTAACTGTGGAGTCCTGCGGGGTCATGCAGGGGCCTCTAGGGGTCAGTCTCCCCATGACCCTGCTCACTGCCCCTGTGGGCTCCCTAGGGCAGACTGACACGGGCCTGGTCCTGTCTTTCCCAGCCCCCTGGGTGACCTGGCCCCGAGAGTAGGGCTAGAGGGACATGAGAGCCAGAGAGGACACTGGGGGTCAGTGGGAGCTCGAGGAAGGCCATCCCGAGGGCGTGCATGTGTAGGAAGTGTGGGCGCAGGTCACAGAGTGGGGACCGTGGACACCAGTGTGGATGGCATCCCACAGTCCCCACCCTGGGGATGACCACAGCTCTATTTTCACCCCACAGCCAACCTGTAAGTGCTCAATTTTCAGCCCATGAAACTCTCACATTTCACAAAACCACCTCCTACCCAGCGCTGAGGAGGCCCTGTGTATGTGGGCACTCAGGGGGCTGCCCGGGCTCAGCAGGCGGTGGTGGTCAGCTCCGGGTGGGTGCTGGCTCCGCCTCATGCCCGGGCCCAGCATCTGAGCCTGATTCCACTACAGAGCATGTGCGGGGCGGGCAGAGCCTGCCCCCTCCTGCCGGGCACAGGGCACCTTCTCCCTGCAGCACTGGGCAATTTTCCAGCAGGTCCTGGGCCAATTTCTCAAAGACGAGTCAGTATCTGGGGAGAAGGTGATTCTGGAAACTTCTCTGTAGAGCAGGGTGGTCTGCCAGGTGGCATGAGAGGGACCTCTCTGGGGTGGCCAGGGTGCCACCACTTCAAGAGACAGGAGGAGGCTCCCAGAGCACCTCCACACTGGGCCTGGAATGGGGTGGGGGGGCAGTGTGTGGGCACATGGATCAGGGAGCGCTCAGGCTCGGGAGCAGCAAGCTCCTGGCCAGAGAGCTGACAGACCACCGTGTGCCCCCTGGACCCGCAGCCACCCATGTCCCAGCTGGGCCAGGCCCAGGGGGGTTCTCACTGGGTGGGCCTCTTCTGGCTCATCTCCACTCTGCTTCCCTCCTGCTGCTGTGGAGAGTCCCTCTTACACATGTGCACAGTGTGGCGCTGTTCTAGGTGCTGAGCACCGGCAGGACTCTGGGAGCTGGTGGCAGGGGGCGCAGGGAACAGGCAGGCCAAGGTGTGTGGAGAGACTGTCCCCCTGAGGCACTCGGCAGGCATGCCTGGGTGAGGGCAGAGGGGGTGATGGCTCCCTGTGCTGGCTCTTCCCTCAGCAGAGGGTGCATGAGGGTGGAGCCACGGTGGTGCCCCTGCCAATCCTGCTGCTCCTGTCCCCAGGCATGCTGGAGACGCCGGGACAGTGGGGACCCACCCCTGCCTCTGTGTGCGCACTGCTGGATGCAAGCCGGCGTCCTCCTCCCACTGGCGGGGGCTCCAGTCTGACTAGAATACAGAGAGGAGCTGGTGGGCGGTGGTCTGTGCTGGGGCTGCGGCAGGAGGCAGTCTGCAGAGAAACACTTGCCGGGCACAGGGACCAGCATGTGCAAAGGCTCAGCCAAACTGGGGGCACCATGGTGGGTCGTGGGAGTCTGTGCTGTGGTGGCAGGAGCCAGGCTGTGGCCCCTGGAGGGCAGTGGTGAGCAATCAGGTGGGGGACCAGGGAGAGCGCAGGGGCTCACCACAGAGGGGGACGCTGGCGAAACCCCTGTTTGTGTCCTCTGAAGAGCCTTTGCAGTTCCCTTTCTGCCCTGCTGGGGGCGTGTGGGAACAGACATGTGCAGGGTGTGACTCTGGCAGGTGGCTGCTGCCTACCTACTACAGGAACAGCCAGTGTCGCCAGGCATGTTGGAGCGGCCTTTTAAACCCGCTGGGCAGGGGTGTGCGTTGTCACCGGCTGTCCCTTTGCATGGCTCCATGTGCCAGCTTGGAGACTTTATGTGGGACAGTGCTGTCACTTTGTCACATCTCTGGAAATGTATCCCAAGAAAAGAGGGAAAGCTGTGGAAAAGAGTTTGCTCTGGCACTAATTATAAGCAGCAAACAAAATCCAGGGTACAAATTCAAGTGGCAGAGTCTGTGGGGGCAGAAGCTGGGGAGACGCTTGGGGTCCCAGCCTGGGAAGGCCAACAAGGCTGATTCCCCTGCCTGGTCCCTTTCAGCCCTTAGATGAGGAACTGGAGGCATGGGAAGTAAATGCAGGGTGCCCAGCTCACACTCAGAGCACCTAGCAGAGCTGGGACTGCACAAGGGTATGTCCGAGTCCCCTGCCCTGTTCCTGTCCCCAGCCCATCTGGGCATTGATGCTGGTGTCCCCAAGTTCCAGCCTCAAGGGCACTTGGTCAGCCTTCTGAGGGCTGCCCAGCATGCCCAGGACAGGAGGAGAGAAGAGGCTCATGCTGGCTGGCTGCTGGGTCACGGCAGCCCCTCCTGGGACAGGCCAGCCCTTCCAGGCATTGCGTTTGAACCATGGGTCCCGGCCAGCTGCCTTCCTTGTCCAGCCTGGGCCCTTCAGACACCACCACCCTGAAGAATGCACCTGGAGGGGACCTGAGCTGAGGAGGCCTCACTTGCCGCAAGCCTGGGAGGGGCTGGGGTGACTTCTGAGTCACGGCTGTCCCCACCTAGGCATGTGCTTCTGCCTGGCTCCCTGCCTCCGTCCCTATTCCTGCTGCCCTGCCCTCATTGCTCAGGTGTGTCTGCCTCCTCCTGTTTAGGTCTCCAAGCCCAGCTTCTGGAGGTGCTGGGGCTCCCCAGACAGTGGTGGAGGCAGCTAGCCTGCACTGCATGGATTGGCCCTCAGGGTGGAGCACCCCCCAAGCTGCCCTGCAGGAGGCACCCTTCCCGTGGTTCCTGCTCAGCGTGAGGCTGGCAGGTAGTGGTCAGAGCTGTGGCCACTGGAACACGGCCCCATGTGGCTCCTCAGGGCTGACCACGAGCTCAGATCTTCCAGGTTTAAGAAACACCAGGACTCCTAATGTGTGTGTTTTGTATTCTGATTTTAAGGGTGGCAATTAAATTTATTTTTTTTAAAATAATAAGCCACTGTGGGGACTACAGCGTGGGACCAAAGCACATTTAGAAATGACATTTGCAACCCCTACTCTGCTGCCATGGCCTCTAGCACTAGTGGGTAGCAAAAAAACCTGCAAGAAATGGAATCCATCACAACTATGGAAGGAAAGTGTGTGGCTGGTCAGTGTAGTGCTTCTTTCTGACTGGAGGGGAAATGTTCTCTCAGGCATCCTTTCCTGGGTGGGCACCAGGCCAGGCCTGGCTGAGGGCACAGAGGTTATCTCTGTGCTGCGGGAAGAGTTCTCTGAACTCTGAAATGTGCCTTCGGGCTTTGACAATAGGAAGATTCCCTCCTCGATAGCTTATGCAGAAAAGGGGATGAATTAAATGTACAAAACACCCAGCGCAGAGCCCACCCTGGAGAAGAAAGGGTGGCCAAGGCCAGTCTGCCCCACCTGCAAGGGTCTGGAACCACAACATGGGTAGGAATCACACCTGCTAACGAGGCTCCCTGCCAGCAAGACCTGTCAACTGGAGTCCGGCAGTTTACCCTGCTTGTCCAGCCCTGCAGCTGGGGCGTCTGAAACCAGCTATCACTGGCTGCTGGAGACCCTTCCTGCCAGTCTGGGCTCGAAGGCTGTCCTAGGCCCACAATTCCATAGCAGAGCCACTTTCTCCTGGCCTTAACGTGGGGCAGAATTTTACACACTTACACAATCTCATCCCACATTTCTCCCTACATTCATTAAATCTTTTTTAAAAAGTATGGTAAAATATGCTTAACATAAAATTCACCATTTTAATCATTTTTAAGTGTACACTTCAGGGGCATTAACTGCAATCACAATGTTGTGCAGCCATCACACTACTTATCTCCAGAACTTTCTCATCTTCCCCACCTAATACGCTATCCACTCAACACTAGTGCTCTATTCTCTCCTCCCTCCAGCCCTAGCGACCCCCATTCTTTCTGTCTCTATGAATGTGACTATTCTCGGTACCTGTATAAATGGAATCATACTGTATTTGTCCTTCTGTGACTGGCTTATTTCACTGAGCATAATGTCCTGAAGGTTCATCCATGTTGTAGCAGGTGTCAGAACTTCCTTCCTTTTTTAAGACTGAATCATATTCCATTCTAAGTATTTATGCCATATTTTCTTTATCCATTCA